GACGACGACGACAACAATGACAATAACGATGATAACGAAATACTGATCTCGGGAGAACCAACGGAAGTGGCGACTGAAACGACGGCGGTTGCTTCGTTGGAGACTGTGGTCGAAGAAGACGACGATAATGGCGATCAGCTGCAAATTAACCTGGGACCCAGCGAGTTCATAGCCGGTGATGTCAAAAACGTTGAGCCACTGAATTCAAACTCACCGGTAGGATGTCATTTTATATATGCGTTTACAGAGCCGGGTTAAGGTCCAATGTCACCATGGAGCAAAACATTTTTGCCACTTACTCTATCCCCCCCCCATCGTAACCAGAACAAATTATTTTAGTAGTATAACTCATTTATGTAACATATATATACATATATATACACTCGTATAAACAAAATTTATAAATTATTTTTACAATTTTTCTTAGATATTGAACTAAAATAATTATTGAAAAAAAACCATTAAAATATTTTTTTTTCAGACAGGTAGCTTAATAATATGCTGTCCATCAACATTTTTCATTTGGAGCAAATGCTCTTTATGCAACTGGGTTATTAATGCGACCCTGCACGTTTATAGACTGACTTGCCTCAAAACAGTTTTAACCTAAATCGGCTAAATCATAATGTACTAGCTATAGATTTTATGGATAGAAATGGTTTGCTCATTTCACAGTGTTCGTTCTCTATCAATAACTTTATTTTATTATAATGATTCTTAATTATATCTTATGAATTTTAAAAATCATTGTTACAATCAAAACTCCACGATCGCTAAACTATTTAATATTTTTTCGATTAGCTTGAAAAAATATAACATTATAATATTGTCGGCTTTGCGTTTATATTGATAATATTACAGACATTAAATTAAAATATAATTTATATTAATTTAAATATTTCGAAGGTTAAATCACTATAATTAAAACTATATAGAAATACATGTAATCCGTTTACGTTTTAAAGTTTGATCAAAAAGCTGGTATATAAAATTATATTCTGATAACATAAAGGTCATTTGTAAGAGGATTACAAATACGATTATGGTATTAGATACCCTCATCCCATATAAAAAAGATATATATATATATATATATATATGAAAAAAAATGAAAGGGAGAAATGTATTATCATTATCGTCTTCTCATTGTAATAGTGGCGTCGACCAAGTGCGTGTAGGTACTTGTGAGACCATGCAATAGAACTGCCTAAAAAATTATATTATGCTGGTGTCTGGCGTGGGCGGATAAAATAATTTATCGAGTAAAACTAATACTCTCACTCTGCTCGCGTAAAATGTATCACGTTGATGTTAACTCCATAAATCATTATATATTAAGGATATTATGTGGACTTATCAAAATAACGAAATTCAATATAATTGATTTCGTGCTAAAAATCATAAACATTTGTCTTAGAAAATACTAATATATTATATTCACTGAATTGGCATATTTCTATAAATGATTTGGAAGTTGCCTTGCCAGTTAAGATCATTAAACGACAATCGCGTATCGAATCCGTGTCGTATTTAATGTAGTATGATATTGAGGTAGGTATTGCACACAATGTGACTTTTTATTGTGGTGTCCCCAAGTTGACCTCACAGAATGGGTGAACTTCAATAGAATACACTATTAAACATTTTCACCATAGTGTACATGTGATAAGTTAAAATAACATTGGTTAAAATAAAAAGCATTGATTTAATAATAATATAAATCCACGAAATTCACCCAATATCCTCTATACTAGCTGTGTTCAATTCAAGAGGAATGGCTGAAAATAAAACAAAAGGTCAATTTGATTTAAATCAAATTTTACTTTATAAATAATGCAGGGGCGGAACCAGGGAAAAGCCTAGAAAACTAGACCCCCTCAAAATTAAATGAGTGCCTACTACTGGATATTACCATATGATTATAAATATTAAAAATATTGTGTATAAATGCCAGAGTGAATGTATAGGTATAAAACATTTAACATCTATGTGGAATATTGAATACACTTATGTATACTGAATTTAACAATATGTATAACATCTAATTATATAATATAATACATA